GTATGTATGTATTTATTTTGAGACAGTGTCTTGCCGTGTCACCCAGGGTGGAGTGCAGTGGTGTGATCTCGGCTCACTGCAACCTCCACCTCCCGGGTTCTAGTGATCCTCCTGCCTCAGCTTCCCGCGTAGCTGGACTACAGGCATGTGCCACCACACCCGACTAATTTTTTGTATTTTTAGTAGAGACAGGGTTTCACCACGTTGGCCAAGCTGATCTCAAACTTCTAACCTCAGGTGATCCCCCTGCCTTGGCCTCCCAAAGTGCTGGGATTACAGGCGTGAGCCACCACGCCCAACAGATAGATAGTCTTTAAATATGAACTCATCTTTCCTGAGAAACGGACCTTTACATATATTTGACAGCAGGACTACTCTATTGACTATGCAGTAGTCCCTTGTAGAGGTAGGTAAAGGGCTAATAGAAATACTTTCTCTCAGAGAAACAGGAGGTCATTCAGAAAACTAATGACCATCTGAGAGTAGAACCCAGAAGTCTGGGACTGAGTCTGCATGCCATGTTGGTTGGGACTTCCTCTACAAGTTCCTGTTGTTGGTCTTTTTGTTGTTGTTGTTTGTTTTCCTTCGTTTTCTTTTTTGGCTCCCAGTTGTGCCTCCTCTTTCCTCCCAATTTTTCCTTCACTGAAAAACTCACTTCTACAAGCCTCACCATTGTTTTTGTTCAATTATATACAAGGATATTCACCATTCATGGTGGGAGTCCTAAAAACCTCTCTGACTTCACTTTAAGAACTGTGCAGGTGAAACTCAGCTACTGAGGAACTATTCCCCCTGACAATAAGAATGTTTGGTCTCAAGCCTGTAAGTTGGTTGTAGTGGCTCCTGCTGGGCTGGAATCCTTGGAATAAGGATGTCATTGGGCTGATGGTAGGTGGGCTGTGTCACAGGGCTGATGGCTTGTATACCTACAGGAGGAGTTCTCTGGCCACACCGTTGGTACAGCAGCTCCTTCCAGGCTCATTCATGGAACAGGCATGGTGGCAGTCTTGGAGAAGAGTGCCAGCCCCGGTCAGAGGTAATTTTGTACTGCAGAAAGGTGAACAAGACCAGTAGGAAGTGCCCATAAGAACCAGGGGAGGGATGAGGGTGGATGAGATGGGGAGACACAGTATGGGCTGCTGGGGAAATTAAAACCTCTGTTAAGACATATTTACATAATATATATGATTTAATGTGTATTTCATCTAGTCCAATCATCATAAGTGACTGATACAGCTAAACTGACTAATGTTACACATCTGTGAACATTTTTACTTAATCACAGTTGTCACCGTTACCTGCTCTCCTGACAAATCACTGTGCTCCTCTCCTTTGAGCAAAGAGAACATAATGACAGGCTACTTTTGTATCTGGCCCCAGTTCCCTTTTCAATGGAAGTATAAACCATTCCTTTCATAAGCCCATGCTCTGCAGGAAGTGAAAAAGTTGTCTATTGTTCTCTATATGTCAGAAAACTAATGGATTCCTGGTTCTCTTAGCTATGCCAACCTAGTATAAAATACTATATCGTGATTTTGCTGCCAATAAGTTGTGACTGTCATTTCCCTTTCTTCCAGGCCAGAACTATGCTACAGAAATAGCATTTTTAAACATGGCAAAAAAGATCCTTGTTTGCCACTGGAAAGATGGGATTCTCTCTGGGGGTGGGTGGAACTTGCTATGCAGTTTCAGTTAGATGTATTTGATGTATTTGAGACTATTGGTGTTCCCTTTCATGTCATGCAGGACCTGATAAAGCTGGGTAACATAAAAACACCAGTTGTTTGAGTTATTACCTCATACAAGTATAAGCTCTCCAGTTCTGGAGCTTTTATATAATTTTATTTATCACATTCTGATAAAAGTAAAGTGGCAATTTATTAATTGGACTTGAAAACAATAGTTTTAGTAATTATGTCTGTGTATCTGAATCAGCCTCAGGCACTTGGAAGTAGAAACAATAGTAACAGAAGAGAAGTAGAACACATCTCCAGAAGTGCCAGAGTAGGTTTGTAATCTTATTAGTTCTAGTAATTATAGTAGTCCATGATGTGGCTTAAAAAAACCCTAAAAGTATCAGGGTAAATAAACCACAGCATGTAATAGTGATCATAACAAAACCATATACAAAGCTGTTAAGTGACCACTTTGGGAGAAGTAGAAAATGTCCAAATACTCATGGAAAATGACACTTCTGTATTTGGGGAGATTACTATGACTAATTTAGGCCATCATTTTGATTGTTTCAGAGACATTCTAAGATCTTATTTAGAGATGGCTAAGAAGTTTATGAAATAGGATATCTAAAGTTTTTATTACAGAGATATTTTCCAGATGTAAATTATACATTATAAATTTAGTTCATAAATATCCTTTTTGTGATAATAGAAACAATTTTTTTTTGTTTGTTTTTGTTATGTGACAGAGCCTTGCTCTGTCACCCAGGCTGGAGTGCAGTGGCATAATCTCGGCTGACTGCAATCTCCGTCTCCTGGGTTCAAGCAATTCTTCTGCGTCAGCCTCCTGAGTAGATGGGACTACAGGTGTGCGCCACCATGCCTGGCTAATTTTTGTATTTTTAGTAGAGGCAGAGTTTCACCATGGGGGCCAGGTTGGTCTCCAACTCCTGACCTCGTGATCTGCCTGCCTTGGCCTCCCACAGTGCTGGCATTACAGGTGTGAGCCACTGTGCCCAGCCAAAAAATTTTTTATAGTTAAATTTTCTTAGCTTGGATGCTTTTACATTTTGGACTTTATTTTATATAGTTTCGCATTTGAAGTTCTGATATTTTCTTATTATATAAAAGGGATTCAATTTCATTCTACCATTATATAAAAATTATCTAGGTAGTAATATATACATTTATTGTCAAATAATTATATTTTAACTTTTGAAATCACCTTTAAAAGGTTACCATGAAATAACTATTCTCTTTAATAATTATAATGTTACTTAATTAAATAAATGTAGTAATTTGTTCTAATTTGCTTTCCATTTTTAATTTTTTTTAACTTGAAGATGAAACACTTCTTTTTGTTAGACCTTAAAAGTAATAAATTAATTAATTTGGGACTAGAAACAGCTAATTAAGTTAGATCCTAAAAATCTTTAATTATCTGCTACAATATTTGTAGCCCTGAATATTTTCTGCTATCTTTATTTTTTATTTATTTATTTATTTTTTTGAGACGGAGTCTCGCTCTGTCGCCCAGGCTGGAGTGCAGTGGCCGGATCTCAGCTCATTGCAAGCTCCGCCTCCCGGGTTTACGCCATTCTCCTGCC